AAAATACCCACACTACTGAGAAGCTGCAGTTGGTCAGCAGTCAGGACATAACATTTCTAAGGTAAAATCGCCCCTGGGAAACAACTATCAATGCAAATCTTGTAATTCATTTTAAAAGTTGACTCTGTTCAWGGAAAAACACAAAAGCTATTTTTGTCAAATTTCCTTATTGAAAGAGAAATCAAAAAAAGACTACTGGGGCCTTGCTGTAATATTTTCTTTCTTGATAGCCAAGTATTTTAATACATTGTTTATGTAACATATTCCCTATTATCAGAATCTCTTTATGAATACATTATATGTATCGTAAAAATTTAATGTAGAACAGTCTATAAAAACTTTTATCATTTTTGAAAAATCAGTSTCAAAGTAGCTACTCAGATAAAAGCCAATTTATTTAATTGCACAAATATTTAAGTATAAATTAAATACAAGATTTTGTAGCAATTATGCTAAGCAAAAAAAAAAAATAAGCCACATACAGGCTAAATATTGCATGATTCCATGTTTATAAAATATCCAGGAAAAGTACAATTATAGAGCTCAAAACTGGATGAGCGGTTTTCTGAAACTGTGAGTGGGTGCAGAAATAGACTGCCAATGGGCATGACAAATCTTCAAATTGTGTCTTAAACCYGAATTTGTGATGAGAGTTGCACCAAGTGGAAGATTTTATTTTATTTAACTTGCAAGGGATGAATTTTGTTAGATATATATTATATCTAAATAAAATGATTTAAAAAGATTCTGTAGAATGAAATATGGTGTCATTCTACACCATGTTTCTTAGAGCTATTCCACTTCCTCAAAGTCTCATAGACAAGTAGGGTACATTTGATTAACTAATGTAAGTGCCACTGAAGAGCTTCACAAGTATACTAGTGTGCTTCCAGGGGTGACAAGGCCTCAACTCCCTCCTTCACTGGGCTGCTATGGTGAGACTTGGAGCATCATTTCCTTCAGCTAAGAAGCTTCTTCCATTGATTTCTTTTACTATATACATAGCATGTTTTGCTGATCAAAGGCTCCTTCCTGAATGAAAATGAAGTAGACTATCAACACATATGGGGGAGCTAAAGCAGAGCAGAGAAGGACTTTTATAGACATTTATAGCTGTAATTGCAACATAAGAAAGAAGAGAGCAAATGAAAAGCCAAACTTTCCCCCTGAAGACAGTGTAAACAAAATAAATAGATGAACAAATAAACTAGACCTAAAGGAAAAGAAGGATGTGAATAATGTAAAGTGAAAATTATTTAAAAAGAGAATATGGACATGAGAACCAATGAAATGAATGTTTACAAAATATCAAGAAAAATGAGCAAAACTTTAGCTTGATTGAGAAAAAAGAAAAAATATAAACCATGCTCAGAAATTAAAGAAAGAATATTATGGCCAACTTAAAAACAAACAGAAAGGTTATAAATAAATACTGTAAAGAACTGTATGGCAGTAAATTAGCTAACCTAGGTAAATTGACAAATTCCAAGAAAGATGTAAAATACTGAAACTACCTGAAGAAGAAAGAAGACCTGAAAAATAAAGATAAAAAGACTGAATTAGTAATTTGAGAATTATTCACAAAGAAAAGCTCAGGCCCAGATAAAGTCATTGGTGAAGTCTATCAAACACTGAAAAAAAGAATAGAAATTCTTCATATTCTTCCAAAAAATAAAATAGAAAAAGAAGAGGGACTATATCCAAACTCATTCAACAAGGTCACTAATATCCTGATACAAAATAATAAATTTTTAAGATATATATTATATATAAATAGGATAATATGAACAATATATCTTATGACCACAGAAACAAAAATCCTCAACAAAGTTCCAGAAAAACTAAATCAGTAATGAAAATAATCATACGTTATAGCCAAGTAGAAATTATGCAAGGGATACAAAGTTGTTCTAATAACTGAAAATCATCTAATGTTATATGCCATTGTTAGAATAAAAACCAAAAATCATATGATTATCTCAACAGATGCAGAAAAAGCATTTKACAAAATCAAACACCCTTCATGATTGAAAGCATTCAACAAATCTGGAAGAGAAAATAAATTCCTCAGAATGATAAGGGTTTCTCTGAAAAACCTAAAGCTAGCATCATACTTAATTCTGAAAAATTATACCCTTCCTTCCTATGATCGGGAAGAAGACCTGGATGTCTTTCCTTTCTATATTTAACTGATTTTGTACTAGAGGACAATTAGGCAAGAAAATGAAATAACAAGCATCCATACTGGACAGAAGAAATGAAATATCTCTATATTCAGATGACATCCTCTTATATATAAAAAGGTCTGAAAAAATCCACTAAAGTTAAAATTAATAAACAAGCACAGCAAGACAACAGCATGCAATATCAATATATGAGCATCAATTGTACTTCTATATGTTTTAATGAATGATATAAAAATGAAATTAAGGAAACAATTCCAATTACCATAAATTTAAAAAGATTAAACTAGAAATACACATAACAAAAGAAATACAAAATTTGTAATTTAAAAATTATAAAACACTGTTAAAAAAATTTAATGTCTAAATGCATTCTCATGAATCAAAGACTTATTACTAAGATGGCAATAATGTCCAAACTGTCCTATAGATTCAGTGCAATTTGTATCAGAATCTCAGTTGGGAAGCTTTGCAGACTCTTTGCAAAAATTGATACACTTATCCTCAAAATTTATATGAAATTTCAGAACAGACAAAAACATCTGGAAAAAGAACATAATCAAATGATTTGTACTCCTGATTTCCAAACTTACTATAAAGCAATGGTATTCAAAACAGTGTGGTAATGGCATAAAAGTAGACATATAAATCAACAGAATAACATTCAGAGTCCAGAATAAATTCATGTATTATGAGTCAATTAATTTTCAAAAGGGGTAAAATAAAATTTAATGAGAAAGGAAAAGTTTCTTCAATAAAAGTTTCTGAGACAATTGAATAGTCACATGCAAAAGAAACAAGTTGGACCTTTATACTATATGCACTTATGCACAAAAAACAAACTTAAAATGGGTCAGTTGCCTAAATGTAAGGGTCAAAATTATAAAAATCTTAGGAAAAAGTCTAGAATCTAGAATATATAAGAACTCTTAGAACTTGACAACCAGAAGACAAGCAGCTTAATTTAAATAAGCATCAAAGGACTTGAAGAGACATTTCTCCAAAGACCATATACAAATGACTAATAAAGCACATGAAAAGACATTCTACATCATTAGTTATTAAATAAATGAAAATAACACAAATACCATTTTACATCTACTAGCAAGGGTATAATAGAGAGGGAAGAAGGGAGTGGGAAGGAGAGAGAGACAGAAGTACTGCGGAAAATGTAGAGAAACTAAAACCCTAATACACTGCTGGCAAGAATGTAAATCATGTCACCATTGTGAAAAACAATCTGGCAGTACCTCAAAAACATAGAATTCAACATAGAATCACCATATGTCCCAGCAATTCTGCACCCAAGTATGTAAACCAAATATTAAAAATGGGGACTTGGTTACTTGAATATCCATGTTAATTATAGCACTTTTTTTTTTCACAGTAGCCAAAAAGTAGAAATGGTCCAAGCATCCATCAGCCAAAATGAACTGATAAGCAAGGTGTGAGTGAGGGGATGTATACAAACAACAGAATATTGTTCAGTTATCAATATGACTGAAGTCCCTACACCTGCTACAACAGGTACACTATGCTACATGAAAGAAGCCAGTCAGCTCAAACATTAAAAAGTGATGAGCCAGAGATGATCTATTTCTTACTGGGTCATCTAAAGGGAAGTYGTGTATACTCAGGAATTGGTTTTTCAGTTGAGCTTCTTAATGTCACAGATCCAGCTCTGCAAAGAAGGGAGGAGACTGCAGACAGAGGAGGAGCAAGTGCTGTGACAGGAAGGGGCTGGCAGGTGTTTGAGGGGTTGTATGAAATCCAGGGCACACCAAGGGCAGTGGACYATGGGAACAGAGGGAGAAAAAAGGTGCCAGAGGTAATAAGAGACAGAGGCAGACATGTAGGGCTTTGTATGGCAGGGTAAGAAGTGTCAACCTGCTTCTCCTCAACACCATAATGCTCTGTGCACATCTCTCCTGCTATGCTCTATTCTGCTAGACTGCCCTCTCTAAAGAAATGCACATTTCTGGTTCATTGGTTCATTCTTCATCTTCAGTGACTAACCAATGCTAGTTAGGACCTCAGCAAAGGATTTCTGGAAACACAGCCTACATACCAATGTCAAGAAAAGAGAAAACCCTCTCTGAAAACGTAAGCTACTTTAAATAAAGATCAAATGGAAGAAAAACAATGTTTTCGAGAAAGACAATGTTCAAAGGAGGGACAAGCTAGGGTCAACTGAATCCCTCAAGCTATACTGGTTGTTTCTCACAGAGACTATGGTGTTTCCCAAGTTTGAATCCGTTGAAGAGAACATTTTCCATATTTAATTAAACTCATGCCCAGAATTTGAAACATTAAACTGTCAGCAAAAACAGCTTTATTGTTTCTGATTATTGTATAGCAGTCATTAATTAGTTCTCTAACTCAAGTTTACTCACAGAAATATTTTAAGTCATTGTGCAGCACTCCAGTATCAGAATCTACCTTTATCTCACCACAAAACCATTAACATAAAAAGAGTGAAGTTATAGAGTGCATCCCAGTAATTCAAACAGGATTATGCACTACCTTTTAAGGAACACGTGGCAACACTCATGCTTTCCTTATAAATGACTTACAAACATTTTACTGCATAATGATTAGCTTCACACCTGCATGTTGAACTCTGTTTGTACTACACAGGGATTCTGCCACAGTCCTAATTAGAGCATCATTATCCAGAAAAGCGCATAGCGATTTCTAACACAGGTGAGACAAAGCTAGTCAAATAGCAGTTTCGAAGTGAAATACCCTACAGTTTTGCAGATAAATAAAGCACGTTTCTTTGGAAGAAWTTTTTTTTTTTTTTTTTAACTAGCTTACTGTGGCCTTGAGGCTTCTGCCTGGTCTGTCTGCAGTTTTTCTCCTCCTTCCACCTCCATTGTGCAGTAAACAATTCGATTTGGAGCAACTGATTTCAAACCTTGCACTTCCATTATGACAATCTAAAGAAAAAAAATGATTTAAAAATAATATGTCAARTTGATAGTATTCAGCAACTCACAAAAATAGCAACATAAACTGCAATTACAAAGACCCATTGAAAAATCTGATAACATTGCTAGGATTTTGCCTTCTTTATAATATACCTCTATTTATCCAAGGTATAGTAAATGACTATTTTGAGGCAGTTTGGTTTCTGAAGAAATAACTCATTATTGCTCTTAAATAAAAGTAAGGTTAAAGWTCCTAAGAATTAGTCTCAGCAAGGTAAGTGAACTTTCAACTCAGATCTTAACAAATTAGAGCAAGTTTGAATGAAGTAGGGCAAGCACAAATAAAAATTCAATGAAAATAAGAGGAGTACATGCTGTGCTCCACAGAGAGTGACATGGGGCATTTATTATCAGAGACATGGTCAGGTGATACCAATTAATTGATATCAACACATGACTGAACTTTTATATACTCACATTTTTTAAATGACTATTATGATTCATAAAAGAATTTTATCTATGGCTGCTGTATTTCACATTATCAAAATATAATAGAAACTATAATTTGCCCCTGAACATTTTAATATTAGCCTGATGAAGAAAAAAAATTTTTCAGTCCATTAAAGGGATGTACAAATTTAATGCAGAACACTGGAAAATCATGGGAAAACTAATATTCCTTTTATATCTATAACTCTTGGGTGAAAGGGAAACATTTTTTAAATTGAGTTTTTTGTTTGCTTAAAAGGCTATCAATCCTATAATACCATAACTCAACATTCTTATTGGATGTAGACATAAAATATGAATATTATTTTCTACAGTTTTTTCAATCAAAATTTGCATTATGAACTTTTATAAATTCTTAAAACAATTTATAAAATCAATTCAAAGGCATTTTATCTATGTGAATGAATTTCATTATTGATTGCATGTTATGTTTATACAAATAACAGTATTCAYACAACATAGCAATCAAAATATATACCCAAAACATCATTGCTATCACTTATTAATCATTTAATATATAACTACAGACCTAATTTCATAGAACTGTGATATGAACCTTTATACAAACAATTTCAAAGAAATTGTATAAATAAACTGCTTTCTAGCTCTAGAAAAAGAAGAAGGGTTATGTTTGTAAATACAAATGCRTATTTTGTTTTGTTTTTATTAAAACCTGGAAAACTGATCACTAAAATAAGAAAGATCAAACTCAGAAAGGCCTCCTTCCTCAATCAGGGTTCTGTAATTTTGTCACACTGAAATGTATAGTAATATATTAATAAAAATAAGGACTGAGTGAAAATAGACTAAGAATTATTGAAGAATTGATGGAGAATAATATCATCTTTCACAGATGCTATAATATTCATGGAAATTGAGATAAAGTACTAAATCCTGATTTTAAAAAATAGTTGTTTTTTTTTTTTTTCCTTTTGTGAGGGATACCGGGAATCAAATTCATGGCCTCATGCAAGGCACTCTACCACTGAGCTACACTCCAATCCCCCCAAGTTAGGTATTTCTAATAATTCAAGTGTCTAATTAGTAACACTGAAATTGGGTACTTTTAGTAAAACTAATCAGATATTGAGACAAACGAAACATATAACAATGCTGATTAAAAACCAACTACATTTGGACTTCATGACTCCACTTTTTAAAATCAATGACAAATTTTTTCATGATCATTTAATATGCGTCACTTAATACTTGTGTCCCACAAGTCTAGAAATGCTAACAGCATTGGTTCATGTTTTGGATTACTGTTCACACACTGCAACTTCTTCTGTATTTTATTTAATAGAGTGTGGGTAAGAAGAAAGGAGACATCTGCTTGGTGTTATTTCTATCCCCTCTAATACAAGATACTGTAAAAAACATCCAAAAACACAAAACAAACAGCATTCCAGCCCTCAAAACAATACCCCATCTCTGCCAGGAAGGTTTTATCCTGCAAAATTGCCACTTTCTAAAGATGTAAGTTCTGTGATGAATTTATACATTTAAATACAACACAACAACTTAGATCTTCCAAGAGTAGGGAAACAAAGCTAGTCTCTCAATCACTAGTGATAAAGACAGCCAAGAATACCATGGACCATCAACTAACACAATTTTCTATTTCAACCAATTCCCGAAAAAACTTGATAATGGAACTTCAGAAAATAAAATTGATCTATGGTGTATCTTCTCAATCTCTCTGTGGCTGATGTAATAAGGATATAACAGACAAAGCTATCGGTCTTAGAAGCAAAAAGAAGGAAGGCACTAGTTAACAGGCTTCTGAGCAATATATCGACCAAGGAGTTATGTGACAATAAATTAAGCATGTGTATTTCGTGAGATAGTGATTCTGGCAGTATGGCAAAATCAGGGACCATATATCACACATACAGAGGAAGGGCTGCTAGTCTAATGTCAATGAAGAAACTCAATATGAAAACCATGATATATATCTCCAGTACAACTTATGGACACATAACTTCATAGATGAATGTTTGCTTCTCTAGTTTTACTTCAGTATTTAATTTTAACATATCAATGCATGGTTTAGTTTTCTGAGAATTAGCTTCTGCTTTGCTGTATTATTCTTTCTAAAGACTTCATGAATGGAAACATAAACCTGTATGTTAGATGCTTTTTGAATACCATAAAAATCTTAATTCAATAAATATTTATTGACTGAAATGTATGCCCAGTACTGGTTAGGTGCTTTTGATATCTCAGAAAAAAACAACAAAGAAAAATATGTATTTTTCTTGAAGGTCATACTGGAGAAGGRAAAACCAGATAATAAGCGTAGTATATAAGTGAACTATGTGTTAGGCAATAAATGCTGTGGCAAAAATTGAGCTTGGTGAGAGAATGGAGAGATGGGCAGTAATTCTACAGAGAAGGTGAAATGTGAGCAAAGTTTTTCAAATGTTCACTTTAATTCCTTATACATTATTCCTAGGATCCTTATTCAATTCTTTTAAAAAGACTCCTCCACTGAAGCAGTTTGAAGCCTGGCTAATGAAATGTGAGAGCTTTAAATTGGATTAAATGCTTGCCAGTCTGAGTTTTCATTGCTGAAATCTGGGTCTGAGGAACAAGGCACCATGGGCTTGCCTTATGTCTTAGGCTCTTCAAACTAGAAGACCAGCCAGTTATTCTCTCAGGTATTGTAGGGATATGTACTGGAGAATTGTCACTTAACATAATTTCATTTTGTTTGTAGACATGAAACTCCTAGATAAAATACTATGAATACCTGAGAATGGATTTCTTTATGCTAAGGTAGCAAAATATCTGCCTAAGACAGACACAATAATAGAGGCTGTCAAAACACTTTTATAAATATGCAAGTTTCTCAGACCACACAGATTCAAGTTTTAGCTTTATTCTTCTAACATCATTATATTATAAACTGAGCTGCTCCCTTTAACATACTGACAATAAGCTACAGAATAACAATTCATAGTTGCATTTACACACTAATTCATAGTCTAATTTTATTTTCATGAGAGAAAAGAGAATGCCTAATTATTTATAATTGTTGAAGACTTTTAAACAATGAGAAAATGTGCTGAATTGGTTTGTTGTGTTGTGAATGCTTAAATATGTAGATAATAGATTTATACATCATAAAATTTGCTCTACAAATTAATTTTTCCATTAATTTGTATGCTGAATTCTTATTAAAATGTAACATTGTAATTAAGTTATTGATTTTTTGGTGTAAAATTTTAAAAAATAAAGCATTAGCATCTTTTGAGTCAGCAAGATTTGTGACAGGAAATGATGAGGTAATTCTTCTTGTAATATACTATGTAGTTTCAAATTAAAAACCCTTACGTTATGAGAGGAAAGAGACTGAGAAGAAATTCAGTAGGAAGGCCACTTGGCAGAGTCATTAAGTGAACCAGAATGAAGTTTTGAGTTCAAAGAAAGCCACACATTTCTACTCTGACACTAGGCTTAATTCATTAATACACAAAGTCTGGAAGTTAAAAAAGTGAGTAGGCAATTGTTTTTTTTTTTTTTTCTCAAGCTTGAAGTTGGAAAAAATGGAAGAAAAAGAACAACTGTAGACATTTGCTTTTTCTGCCATTGACTAAGCAGATTTAATTATCAACTAGAAATCAAAGACACTACCTCCTAAGACTGTATGTACTTTTTCAATCAGCAAATGCAAATAATAGTATTGGGGACCAGTGGAGAGAGAATGTGACAATATAAGGAAAGAGCTTAGGAGCTTTATAAGCATCAATAAGAATTTTGAAAGAGCTACAAATTTAAGCTAGACATTGCTAGTATTTACTTATTGAACAGAAATTATGGGGAGAAAAAAAGCTGGGGTTTAAGACAAATGATTTAATACTACTCATTAGTATGATATAAACTTTTACTTTGTACTTCATGTAAGTTCTTTCTTTTAGGTATTAAGGATTCTTGTATTATGTGTGTATGTTGAGGTATATAAACCTGTATTCATATACCTAGTCATATATATAATCATATACCTAGATTAGCAAGAAGAAATGTAATTATGAAAAGTATCAATAGGCAGCTGTATCAAGAATTATCAGTGTCTTTCGTTTTCAGGGATTTGTTTAAAAAGGATGAAACTCTAATGTTTTAGGGAACACAATTTTAAATGCATGTCATTTGTTCTTGTTCTCCATAATATTTACTGTGCCTATAATGAAACTGGAAATCCTAGAAATGAATTTTGTATTTCTTATCATATATAATACTGAATATTGTATTATGTTTTACTTGATTTGATTCTAGAAAGATGATTCCATAAGTGAAGTACATTAAAAACAAAGTTAATCTCAACTTGACTTTTAAATCAGATTTCCACCCAAGTGTGTTTTGGTACATACTATATCAATGAACTGACACTACTTTAACTGGCAAAAAATTGTGCCTCAAAAATTTTTATTATTTAAATCCTAATACTGCTGTTAAGGTTTTGTTGTTGTTGTTGTTGTTTGTTTGGTATGGGGGATTAAACCCAGTGGGGTTTAACCACTGAGCCATTTCTCCAGCCCTTTTAATTTTTTTCTTTTGAGACAGAGCCTTGCTAAGTCGCTGAGGCTGGCTTTGAACTTGCAATCATCCTGCCTCAGCCTCTCGAGCTGCTGGAATTACATGAACAGGCCAGTGCACTCAGCTGCTGTTATGTTCAAAGGATAATTTCCATTCATTTGTGTTCATAACCTGTTTTTCAAGCTACTGAGGAGTGATTTAACATCTCAAAACATACAACACTGCTTTAAATTCTAAACATTACTGCACAGGTCACAGAATTTRCTGTGCAGCCTCATTTATGCAACTAGCTGTGACAAAGCCACTTACCTCTAAGGTGAATGACAGTACCACATCAGACTTTGACAACTGAATCTCATTTTCATCTCCTAGGTCCAAAAATGCAGAATTCTGTGAACGTTTTAATTTCTGTAATTTGAATTCTGGGCCACCTTTTGAAACTGGAAGGCTTTCCAAATTGGCCATTAGCAAATTCACTGAAGATCGTAACTCTTCTATGTACATATTCTCCATTTCTTTTGCTATAAATTTGGGGAATCTTCTTTCCTTAAAAATAATTTAAAAATAAAATTGTTAAAAGAGTCATATTTCAATTTTATTATAAAAAATTATATGATGCCTGCAATCCACTCTCTTAGAATTATAACACTCTTCTTAAAATGTTTCTGCCGTATATTATCTGCCCTATAATATCTGTAGATATTAGTCTACAGATTTTAAAAATCTCAGGCTTTGGTAATTTTGATTATATTTCAGGATACTTTACATATCTTGTTGCTGCTCACAGTAGTACAAAATGAAAAACATTTGTGTGTGTCTGTGTGAATACACAAATATATATTTTTCTGTTAAATTTATTTTTGATAAAATTTGTATATGGGACTAACAAACTCTGGAAACAGGCTTGTAATATGTCTTAGTGTATAGATGAATCTTAATGAACTATGTCTATTTTTGAAATGCTTATAGTAATGAGTCTATAAGAAAATATTAAAAATACACTGCTTTGCTAGTTAGAAAACAAACATTTTAGCAATGCATTTAATTACTATACATGTGCATTTTTATACATAATCATTCAAATTAAAACTCCTATCGTTAATGAATAATATGCACATATTTCTTAATTGATTAATTTTCACATTGCACATATGTGCCAAGATTCCTTATGGCCATGCTTCAGTTTTTTTTTTTTTTTTTTTTTTGTATAGACAAATTCAAAGCAAAATGCCAACTTATAAAAAAACCCATCAAGTGAAAAAGAGGTTGACGATATCCACTTGGAAAATTCTGTTTTAGCTGAAGTACATAGGCATCATCATACAATTCTGTTATCTCTGCAATCAGATTTGTTTCTTTTACTTGATTAAAAGAACATTTCAAATATTGATATTTAGGTAGTGCCAAATTGACCTTAGAGAACACCATACTGATTTATATTCCCCCAAACAGCAAATAAGAGTACTTTTCCCCTCAGRCTTCTACCTCTCCTTTCATCTTTGCCAACCTGACACTTGGCTTCCCTCTGTTAAAAGTAGGGAGGACAGAGTTTTACCATGCCAAGTTCAGTGTGATGTGCTCTTCACTGCCCTAAACTGCCTTGGGGATAGGAGCTCAAAGACTGCCTAATGCTCCAGAAAATCACCACCTTCATTGCAGTTTCCCTCAGCACCATCAAAACCTAAGAAACCTGCATTTCCAGCATGACTGGAACAGGTCCAGAGGGCTCTCGTCCACCTGTGCCTAGTCCCTGACTAGCTTGCACCAGGTCCTTCCTGAAATGGAAAGGGACATCTGGCACCACTTTTGGAATTAGTCCCAGAGCCTCAGGCCACCTGTTTTCCTTTCCCCCAATATAACCTTCATATATTCCTTTAAAAATCATTTACACACAGTCCATACTAAAATTGCATACTTTCACAGAGAGATTAAATATCTTCATTAATAATTAACTTTACCAAAGAAGATTTTTAAATATCTTTTTAATACTCCTCTGGAGTTGGAAGCAACACTCCTACACAGTAAGTTTGCATCCTCAGGAAAAAAAAAAAAAAAAAAAACATAATTACCCAGTACCTCTGTTTCCTTTGGAAATGCAAAGTTGTTGTGGAATGGTTTTTCAATAGAGACAAAGAAGAAAAATAAAATAAGCAATAAACACAGACTTTTAATTTTTGAACTAATATCGAAAGTTGTCTGGAAAAGCATCCAAAACTCAGAAATAAAACAGGAAAATGAAAGGGCATTTCCCTTTAATGTCACACTGGGCAAAGCCTTTCCAATGGTCACAGCATGAAATGTATTTAATTTAACTTGCTGTTTATTGCTGATTAAAGTTCCAGACAGAGAAGTTACATATTATCTTGTAGAATTTTGTCTAGGAAAGAAGCAAATGTTTGTCTGGTGAGTAAAATAACCCAATAGCTACAATTTAAATCTGTGTTAGAAATTAAAAACTTTTGTGTCTAATCCATGGGTTTTAAGAATKGGCCCTGCTTCCACAAATACCTAGTTTCTCAAATGCTCTTTGGACTAGTTTTAATGTGTAGCTGGCTTACTCATTGATTATACATGAAATAATTTTTTTTGTTCATTTTATATTTGAATGAAAGTCATAACTTTCCATTGAAAATCATAACAAAATAAAAGGCAAATATATCACATATTTGAAAGTCCTGAGAATGTACTAATTTTTTTTTTCAATTTCCATGGTGTTATTTTAAGGAAAATCTAGCATTAGCACATGAAAAACAAATCATTAGCATTAGCTAAAAACACCTCACTCAGTCTGTGAAAGAGGARACTGGCAGGCATCAACCAAATTGACAGCTCTATCAGTATTTTTAAGCTTTGGGGGGGAAACAGACTACACTAGAATTTTATTTTTTCTCTGAAAATACTCTCTCAACTCTCAAAGCTTTCAGGTTTATTGACAACATTTTATTAACTTTAGCTTGCTTATGTTGCCCCCTATTTGGAAACAACAAAATCAATTGTATTTTAAGGCTTCAGTCTGTGGATGGRTAGAGTYGGAGAATATTATGCTAAGTGAAATAAGKCAATTCCAAAAAMCCAAAGGCTGAATGCTTTCTCTGTTATGTGGATGCTAATTCACAGTAAGGGGGGATGRCACTAGGGAAGAAGAGAATGACTTTAGATTAGTAGAGGGGAGTGAAGGAGGGGATGGGGTATGAGAATATGGAGTAGAATGAAACAGATATTATTAGCTTGTATACATATATGACTTGTGTACATATATGCATTACCAATGTGATTCTACATGTACAATCAGAAAAATGAGAAATTATACCCCATTAATGTATAATATGTCAAAGTRCTTAAATGCATTCCACTGTCATGTATAASTAATTAGAACAATTTTTTTWAAATTACTAAAAATATCAATTGTACTTCAGACCAATATACATGTTAAATTTGATCTTTTCAAATTAGAATGAAAGTGTACTATGAATTAAAATGCATTCTGGGGTCATATATAACAAATTAGAATAAAATGAAAAGAAAAAAATTAGAATAGAAAAAGACACAGGGTTAATTTCTAATTGTTCTATCCTGTATACCATGGTTTAAATATTTGAATTTAGTTCCCTGTACAGCATGACACCCTAGTGGCCCTAGCACATGGTATACATTAAAATAACAATAGTTGCTTCAATAAAAAATTCCTATTATTCAATCTTAGTCACTTTTCCTTAAATGTGCTTTACCTTCCACCAGATGATGTCTGGGGTTGGTACCACTAGAATAGTCTCTCCAAGCTGATCTCAGCTCTGTTTTCCATGCCTATGCAGGTTGTATATCCCAAATCCAAAAACATGAACTCTAAAATGCCCCAACATCTGAAACATTTGAGCCCTGACAAGATGCCACGAGTGGAAAATACCACACCTGACCTCGTRTGATGAGCCCCAGTCACAACATAGGTGCAGTAGAGTACTGTATAAAAATTACTTTCAGACTATGTGCTTAAGGTTTATATGAGCATAAATAAATTTCATGCTTAAACTTGGGTCCCATCCCCMAAACTTCTCATTACACATTTGCAAATATTCCAAAATCTTGAAAAAATCCAATATATGAAACTTTTGGTATTGAGAATGTTGTACAAGGGATACTCAATGTATCTTAACTTTAGGCTTTAAACTAGGTGGCATCAAGTAAACTACTGGTTATAGAGTTGATCTAGTCACAACTAAAACACTTTTTTTGGCGGGGGAGTGTGTGTGTGTGTGTGCGCGTGTGTGCGTGTGTGAGTTGTTRTTTTGTTTTTTAACAAATTAGAGCAGATTCCCAGGTATTCTTACCATACTGTTATACTCTCTTCCTTTCAACTCAACTATTTAGTGGGAGAAAAGGGGGAGAGTACTAAAAATAATTCAGGAATTCTGCATACCCCTGGCTTTCTATTGACAATATCCAACCCCTTGCAGATTCAGTCATTTCAGTCAGTCAATAGATATTCACAGGGTGACTGCTATGTGTTCTGCTTTAGGCCTTTGAGATGTAACCATGAAGGTAAAGGAAAAATAATTCCTACCACAGAGACCATTTTTCTGTGAGGAGACAGATATAATAAGAAATCATTTTATGTTGTAGAAAGTGGCATGGGAAAGTCAGGAAGGGGATAGGGGTGAGTGATGAGAAGGGACTGCAACTCTAAGGACAGTGGTCARGAAAGGTTTCAAAGAGGTCATGACCTCTGAGCATAAAGGCAGATGAGGAAGTGACCATTAACTTTATGAATCAGTTTTGGCTATGGTACCCAGTTCTCTTGTCAARTATTGATCTAAATGTTTCTGTACAGCTTTGTATATATATATATATGTATGTATGTATGTATTTAATTGTGACTGACACAGTCTACTCTGAGTATATCCGATTGTCCTCCAACATGTGTGTGGGCCTCAATCCATTGATGATCTCAAGAGCAATGACTAAACATTCCTGAAAAAAGCAGCAATTCTGCCCCAGGACTGCAATGTGGAAACCCTGCCTGGATTTCCCTTCTGCTGGTTGGTCCTTCAGATTTTAGATTCAAGACTGCAGTATCAWATGTTACCTAACTTTCTGACCCGTCAGTATACCCTGTGGATTATGGACTAGCCAGTTCCTACATCCACATGGGAAGATTCCTTGAAATCAGTCCATCTCTATCTCTCTCTCTAAATATGTGTGTATATATGTGATAGTTATCTATTGTATCTCACTATATATTATTTATTCCTATCAATCTATCTACCTGATCCCATCTTGGTTGTTTTTCCAAGGAATAAGCCATGTGAATGCCAGTAATGATAAATATAAGGAGGGGGAACAGTGCCAGCAAAGACCTGTAGCTGGAGTGTATTGAGCACGTAGGGGCAACTTAGTGGGGATAAGGTAACTAACCAATCATATTGAACTCTGCAGACCCTTATAGGAACTTTTTATTTTACTCTCAGTGACATGGGAACATCACAAGATTTTATGCAGAGTTAATGCTGCTATGTTATTGGGGCAAGGGGGTGGAAGCTGAGAGACTAAGTTAAAGGACAGAACAATTATCCAGGTGACAGGCAATGATGATGATATGATACCACAGTGGAAGTGTGGGGGTGGATAATGACAATGGTCCTATTCTGGAAATACTTCAAAGGGAGGCAAAATAATTTCTGGGTAAATTTTGCATGAGTATGAGAGGAAGAAAGAATTCAAATACGATTCTAGTGTTGTTGCTCAGGTAACTGGAAAGATAGTAGTACCAAGATCTGCCCTGCCCTGACCATACTAAAAATTTTGACTACTCAGTCCCCTCCCTATACCTCTCATCCCACCAATCAATTTTCTAAGTAGCAATGACCACCTGCCACAATTTAGTGACATGGCATGCCTATTGCTCATCCTGCAGCTTTCCCAAATAAAATGCAAGATCCAGCTGGACATGCAATAATAGTTTTGTCTTGTTTTATCCCAAGTCAACTATATTTGTCTGGATGTGTCCCAAGCACCTAAGACAGTCTCTGCCTATACTAGTTAATGATCAATAAATATTATTCAATGAACTTACAGATAGAAAAAATGAGGTTCAAAATTACTAAATAGTTTGCCCAGGGTTACTTATCTAGGATGTAGTAAGCATGGGGTTAGCCATGCTTCTTTCCAGGCATGTCTATATTTTTCAAACTTCTTCCTAATTATCCCTTTGCTGAAAAACTAAAGTCTACATTGATACCCCTTGAAAAAGATTTAGGTCATGAGGTTCTACTGCTGTTACATTGTGTTGTTTTGTGAAGTGTGGAGGGGGGTGTTGCTGACTGCCACTGTTAACTATTAATAAACCATGCTCTGGACTCACCAGACTGAAGAGACAGCTGGAGTGGGTAATGGAGTRTGCCCAGACTTTGGAGTCAGGGCCAGGGTTCAAGGCCTACTTCTGTCTCTTGTTAGTTGTGTAATCTTGGTGAAATGAGTAATATTCCCTAAGCCTCCATCTCCTCCTTGTCTATAAAACTCATGATATCATCTGTCCTTGTGAATTCACAGGATTATCAAAGAGATATAATGCAACCAGGTTAGTAAATTGTAACTCACCTTATAAATATTTTATTAAAACAGCTTCAATTTGGTAAAACTGAAATAGAGAGCAATTAAATTTGCTCAGTTTGATATGTCATTATCTCCACTGAAAGACATATAAGGATATCTAAAATACTTCATTTAGATAATATATATTTCAGGTAGTTGGAATCAAGGAATATGCGTGTAGGACAGGAAAATTAATCTACTGATTCATAATAAAAATTGTTTAGATTATTAAGGTTGATTTTTTCTAAAAACCCTAAGTATTAAAAAAGAAACYCTTGTTTTTCTTTTTAAAATTTCTTTTCTCAGAAACACAGTGATTACACAAATAAAATAGAATATCATATAGAAAACACTTAATCTGTCAGACTCTGTGTCAGATATTTCAAATTACATTTTTACTCATTTAGTTATTCCATCTTAATATTAGTTGGCATCATTATCTCCTAAGCACTGTGCTAGATATTTCAGAATATATAATTTTACAAGAGAATTTTTCCTCCTGATAATATTCTGTATAGTACAATATTAGAAGTTTCCTAGATCTAGCAGTTAGTGAAATTCAGGCTTTAATTCTAGGAAAATTTACACATTACCACTGAATTTAAACATTTAACTATTAAACAAGGATCTAAAATGAAGAGTATGCTTCATTTAGATAATATACATTCAGGTAGTTGGAATTAAGGAGTATGCATGTCGAAGAGAAAATGATTCATTATTCTGGATACCTTTACTCATATGGAGTATACTTTCAGGTCACAGAAATCTAGATAAGGAAAAAAAACGTGGTGCAATATGTCAACATGAATAATCTACCTTTGCCATTTTCTCTGCCAATTGCAGTCGACCATCGAGTTCCCTTCTGATCTGGGCTGCTTGTTCATCTGCATTATCCAGCTTAAAAATAAAACAGAAATTATACATTTGTGATTATTTAATGACAGTGACATAGGACTAAAGCAAAGACTAAGTGACCCAACAATGTTTGATAAATTCTCTTGGCTACTTATTGAGAATACAGAATATTGTTCAATTGCATTGGTAGTTCAGTTAAATTATCTTTTCATTGGGTTTTGTTAACAAAAAAGGTACCTCTAGGACTCAGTAGGTCAGTTTACTAAGAAATCTRATTACAGTAATTCTTTGGTCAATGTGTTTACAACTCTAAGCCAAGAAGCCCCCTTTCCCCTTGAGGTTATATTAAGTTATCATTAAGTTGATTCAGGCCATTCTTTTCTCTTCATGTTAAGACAGTCCTAAATAAATTAGAAACAAAATAGAACTAAATAAACGAATCTCGTTTTTCTATTTCAAATTCCCATGAGGCATTTCTAGATGATGATATATGGAATAATGTCTCACTTCTTTGTGCTTTTAAAACTATCCCTCATTTTTATAAYAGATGTGTATTAAGGCTCAACTATTAAAGTAGTATTCGCTTGATTGACATAATTTTCTACCAGTTAAGTCTTCATAGACTCTTCATTCTAGTACCAATAGATCTGCAGTGCCAAGAAATGTTTCTATTTTTACAGACAGGGGCTACATTAGAATTCCATTTTCTTGTTCTAAATCTGATTGAAAACAAGAAAAGCATACTATCATTTTCCAGAAATTCTCATTTATATAAAAAATTATTTTTATTTCTCCAGTAAAATAATCCTTACAATTTCTATAACTTTTAACTTTCCTCATGATTCTTTTTCTACCACTTATTCAATCTTCCTTTCATTATAAAAATGATAATTAAGGCTATTAAAAGTTAAATTTCTTTTGACTTTAATTCATTCCCCTTTCATCCTCAAAAAGCGTGGACCACGTAACTGGAGAGTTCCATCAGAAGACTGAATTAGTACTGAGTGCAATAGAGCTAATCCTTTTGTCCCTTTTCTGAAGAACTACAMATTGACCTAGTTGCCTTAAGGAAAAAAAAAAAGAAAGAAAAAAAGAAAAAAACAACCTGGAAAAAGATGCATAGAAGAGAACCAAATTAATAAAATGGTGGTTTTAGAAATTAAATGAAGAATCAAGAAAAGAAGAAAAGGGGAAGACACTGCAGTATGACACTAAAAGTCTAGAGGTGACAGGACATACTTTGGGGGGTTGGAAATGGCTTCTTAGAACAGGCTTGGGAGAAGACGAGGCGGGAGAGAGGCCAGAAGATGGTGCTTCACACACCAATCGGGGACTTGGAGTTGTTGGTTCCAATGGCGAGGGGGCTTCACTGAGAGGTTTCACACAGGGAAATGACATAATCAGATCCAAGTTTTGGAAAGGAAAAATCATTGTTTCCAGYAGTAACTACACGTCAGAGAGACCTTGACTGATAGACAAAAATTAATCAAGGTTTTCAAGTATTTCTTACTTTTATACAGAAGAAAAGGTCTTGGAGCATTTATTTTCATTTTGATGTATTTCTTGTTTTYATAAAGACAAGCTCTAAGGTATCCTTTCTTAAAAAATATGTTTCCAACTTAAATTTGAATAATAAAATTTATTTTAAAATAAGTTAAAAAACAGAAAAGTTTTTTTTTTAAAGTAAGTCCTTGCTATAAAGGAATTTCTACATCATCTTGAAAAATACACTTTAAATTGTTTTTAAATATTCTTTAGTTGTTGATGGAACTTTATTTTATTCATTTATTTATATGYGGTGCTGAAAACCGAACCCAGTGTCTCACACATGTGAGGCAAGCGCTCTACCACTGAGCCACAACCCCAGCGATACACGTTTAATTTTGATTGATATGATTCAAAATCGAACAGAAATAAGTTTTTCTTCACTATCTTAAACCAAAGTGAAGAAAGTTTAATACCAATGTAATTACAAAAGAAAACAAAGTGTGATGAGTGCCTGTTCCAGATCACCGAAATCTCTTAGCACAGCTTCTAAAACAAAAATGATGTATCAGAACATTCTAACTATTGTGATATCTTAAATGCACTACCTGTAATATGGAATATTCTGATCTCTGCTAAATRTGAATACATATATTATTTTTTCCGTAGAAAAATAATAAAATGTTACATTGCCTCTAGTTATATAGTTCCCCTCCCAGCTCTACAAAAAATTTAAAAAGCAAAAACCAGTTTTTAATACCTTAAAGAGCTAAAATTTTTCAAATTTCACCAAAACTACTATTTAACATCATTAAGTATTTATATCTTCAGATTAACAGCTCTTACTTATTTTTAAATGAAATTTCTTGAGTCTTTCTGGGTTTCACTAGTGTTTTCTTTGTAAGAGACAGTTTTTAACTACTTTAAAAAATATTAATGTCTTCCAAGATGTGATTGTCAGTGTGGACAACTTAGCAGGACTCATGTTTCAAAGTTAAAAGAAGGGCTTGTATAATAGTTCAGTGGTAGAACACTTGACTAGTTGGACAAGGCCATGGGTTTGATCCTCAGTGCTGCCAAAAMYAAATGCATGTATATATTAAGGCCTTAATTGCATTTGTCTAGAAAAAGATATAGCTTTGAAAATATATCATATTAACTGCCTTCTCTTTTTAAGCCTAAATTTTCAGAGATATAAAGGGTGTTGGTGACCATGTCATTTTTTTAAAGGGGGGGGAGAATATTTTTTATTTTTTATTTTTTTGCAGATGGACACAACACAATGCCTTTATTTTTATGTGGAGCTGAGAATCGAACTGGGTCCCGCCCATGCTAGGTGAGCCCTCTACCACTGAGCCACAATCCCAGTCCGTGACCAGGTYATTTTGTGAAAACCAAAAACCAATCATGTTTACTATAACAACAACAACAAAACAGAGGTGAGAGAACCAATGCAATAAAAACAAATGAAATTTTAATTGTTTATCGTTCCTTTATGTAATGCTAAACAGAATTAAAAGGGTAAATCATTTGAGTAACTTATTTTTAACATGTAAGAATCTTAGCTCAGTGTTTTCTTTTCTTTTTAAAAAAATATTTATTTTTTAGTTTTAGGTGGACACAAATATCTTTATTTTCTTTTATGTGGTGCTGAGGATTGAACCCAGTGCCTCATGCATGCCAGGCCAGCGTGCTACCACTTGAGCCACATCCCGAGCCCTAGTGTTTTATTTTCTTTTGAGTACTTGTTTATAACAAACTAATTAAGTGTTTATGTAATATAAATTCATGAACATTTTCTTAAAATTGACTTTTTAAATTGAAATAACTGTAGATTCACATGTGCACTGTTAAGAAATAAACAGATACTCATTATACACTATTCACAGTTTTCCCAATGATAATGTCTTACAAAATTATACTGTTACATCATAACCAGGACACTGACTTTGATAAAAATCACCCATCTCATTCAGATTTCCTCTATCTTAACTTCTCCACAACTTATAACCTGTAGGTCTGTGGATCTACCAACATAGTCAAGTCACTGAACAGTCCTAAAACCACAATGAACTTTCATGACACCTTTTATAACCACACCCTCCTCCCTCTAGCTAATTCCCAGTTTTAGTGAGTCTAGCCAGTTTTTGAGTTTTAATAATGATGAGCCTCATTAATATATGCTTAAAAATAAATTTTACTAAGGCCAACAGGATTTTTTTTTAAATTTCTATTCAAAGAAAGCAGAGATTAACATTAACACATTAACATTCATAAAGACTGGAATGCATCAGGTCTGGTGCTTCTAATCTCAATCTGAATGTTCACCACCTAAGTGTCATTCACAGTGTCCATAGTCATAAACAGCAGGTGCTCACTGAAAACTCTCAGTTGGGTATTCACAGCTCTAACCTCACCTTTCAGGCTTACATTTCCAACTATATACTTACCAATTCAACTTACATAAAGAAAAGCACACTAAACTTCATTAGCATAGATGGGATCTTGATTTCTAGCTCCTTAATCCCATCACCTAACACCATGTCATAGACCCCACCCACCTACTCAGCTGCTCAAGCCCCAAACCCAGTGTCATCTTAGACTTCTTCCTTTCCCTAACAATCCAAATCCAACCTATCCACAGTCATGTAGAATAAAATCTAGAACCAAGTAGTTGACCAGAATTCAGGTATTTGAGCACTTAGCTAGGGTATGTCTAAGAGTGTTAAGAGAGCTTCTGTAATCCTATCAAGCCCTTCTCATTTTTTCAGTATGGCTGGAAAACACTATTAAAGTGAAATAATTCTCTTTTGTTTCTGAATCCTATAGAGAACTTAAACAAATGGTTTTATACGTATTAAAAAAAAAGAAAGAAAGAAAGTGGGAGTGGGAGGATAAAAAGAGAAGCTTGAGCAGATTAATTATAGAAGTGTGGCATTAGAATTTAAGATGCTGTTGACACACCAGATCCTAGTTCTGGATTTGGGCTGGAAGGCAAATGCAGCAGAACATGTAGGCTCTCCCATCTGCAGTGTGGGTCATGGCAAGTCATCATCCCACCAAGGCCATTCATGATTTTATCTCATTTGCTTTTAATTCCTGATTACAATATTTTATGTGACAATAGATTACTTACCTCACAGATGTCTTTTCCTGGCACAGGAAATCTTACAGGTCTTTTAAAAAGAGGGTCATTCAACCTTGACTATAACAGATGCCCCAAAGTATATTTAATCCTTGAATGCCTCTAGTTTCTACTGTACAGAGCATTTTACCACTTTAATTATCAAAATATTTCCCCAATGTGACAAATTTTTAGTACCAAAAAAGGTACTTTTATTTTTCTTCCCACTTATTATGCAGGGGTTAACTATTTCCACATTCAGAATTCTTCAGGATAGGGAATTCTCAACTTGGATCTTTAGGAATCTCTGTTCCTGTTGAAGTGGTAAGCATGATTTTGTACAGAGATGCATTTAGTTTTTTCCCTCAGAGAATTACTTGATTTTTACAGCTTACTGGCTATTCTCAAAGGTGTAGTTAATGCAAAAGAAATA